CACCCCGCCGCGCCCCCGCCTCCGCCCCGCCCAGGCCGGCCACCGCTCCGCTTCCCGTGCCAGCTCTGCGCCCCGCCGCCTACACCCCTCCAACTACTGGGGCTTTCCTTCCTTGAGTCGTCTCTCTCGACAGCAGTCGGGAATTAGACACCTGAAGGGCGCCCTGGCTGAGGAATAGGGCCCAGGTCTGACCGAGGTTCGCAGCCAGAGAGGCGGGCACAAACCATGCACCACCACCACCACCACCCCGATGCCCCACCCTAGTGTGCCAAGAGAGTGCCTACCCAGCCCACCCACCCCCGCCCCACAGTCCTTTCCCTGGTCCCCGGTGTAAATGGGCCAACCCCTGTGGGCAGAACTACCTGGCAGACCCTCACTACTGCCCCAGCCACTAGACCAGGTGTCACAGCACTAGTGCCCCCCTCCGACCAGTTTTGTCCAACCTTTCTGCCTTACTGTTTTCCATTACTATCTACTGTGCTTAGGATTCCCCACTCCCTCTCCTGGGGAAGCCCCCTACTCCTTCCCACCCCACCCCACCTCACCCCACCCCACCTCCGCCAGGACTCCTCCACTAGCCGCGCTGCCCCTTCGCTTGCTGAGCCTTTGCGCGCCCTCATGACAGCACTTTGCTGCGACTATCATTGCCAGGGAGTCAGTGGCTGGGGCCCGCCCTCCTGCAGCCAACCATTTGACTCCTGCACACAGGGCTTTACATCCAGCTTGGAAGAGGGCCGGCCGGCCCGGAACCCAGTAGTGCTGAGAGTGGGCATCAACCGAGCAAGTGTTTATGGGCCAGTGTGAACTGGACCTCCAGGGATGGTCCAGAAGGGAGATGGAACCAGCCTCTGATAAAAAAGCAAGAGAGGATTTGGCTAGATGAACAGGCAGGGAAAGGCATGCCAGGCGGCGGGGACAGTGGTTTAAACAAAGATTGTCAATTGATGACACAGCAATGAGACCAAAGCCCAATCGGCTGCGTTGGAGTTGATTCTCAGTACCAACAGCCACTCCGTAGGGTAGAGCAAAGTTCTGAAGATGCTAAGTCTTTGGCAAACTACCACAGCTTTCTCTATTGGAAGAATGGGGTGGGCCAGTGTGTGTGTGTGTGTGTGTGTAGGGGGTGTGTGTGGAATGGGGTCCACACCGCCGACCTTTCGGGTAGCAGTCAAGTGCTTACATGATGTGTTCCCAGGGCTTCTTTTAGACGGCAAAATGACATTATGAGTACCTAGTCTAAACATCAGACCAATTGCTACCATGATCAGGTTCAAATAAAAAGCTCACATTTTGAAAGTGTTTTCGTTTATAAAGCTAGTCATTTGTGTCACCTCGTTTACAGCCTGGAGGCTACGGAACGCAAGTCCTCCCTTAGCTAGGTGATGAACATGTTAGCAACAGCCGTCAGGTGTTTTGCTGCATGCTGGCTGCCCAGCATACGCACTCTCATTTACTTCTCACCCAAACCTGTGAGGTACGTTAGAATTCCCATTTTATGCACGAGGGAATGGAGGGGTGCTCAGACCAAGAGAGTTACCAAAGGATACAATTTGAAGTCCCGGAGACTAAAACCCTGCCCCTGTGTTTGCTTCACGGAATCAGTCTGTCGCCAAACCCCTCCAGTAACTGGGAAATCCAGTTTTCCAGTAACTGGGAAATCCAGATTTCCAGTAACGAAATCCCGTTCGTTCTTCCTGCTTCACCTCCCTGCTTTCCTCTCAGTCGCTCCCACCTCTAGCCACCCTTCGTTTGTTCAGCAAGTGCTTCTTAAGAGAATGAACCGGTGCTGCGTGGAATGAAGCCAGGAAGGTGGGCTGGTACCAGATGCTGTGGGCGGTTGTACCCAGGTGGCCTTGCTCCTCCTCACAGTCGTGGTGGCCTCCACAACGCCCACTGTCCCCAGGTCACCCTACGGCAGAAGTAAAGATGTGCACCTCTCAGTTCTGCTTCCAACTTTCTGCCCTGACAGGCCTCCTGGGTCAAAAACTATGGGGCCACAGCTGGTGGGCATGAAGAAGGAGGTGACTTTAAGAGCAGAGTCAGTCCCAGGCCAGGGGGAAATGCCTATCACCAGGGAGGGTCCTTCAGGAAGGTGTTGCCCAAGGACTGAATGGGTCAGGGGCAGATAGGAACCAAGGGGCCGATGGTATGGGCCCTGGCTTGGGGTGATGTGGTCAGCTGTCATGATCCCTTCTGTTCCTCACCCCCCACCCCCCATTGGCAGTGACGTCTCTGTTCCGCCTCATTCATCCCATACCTCCATCCCATCTCACCAAGCCGGGTGCCCAGTGGGCCCGCCCCCCTGCTGTGCAGTTCCCCTTTCCCAGGCTCCTCTGAGTCAGTGCCCACCTGCTCCTGCTTCCCCCACCTCCGCTCTGACCCCCTTTCTCCCTCTCTTAGGTCATCTGGTCTTGGATCTGGCCCAGGCCCAGTCCACTCTGGTACTGCCCACAGGCCTCATTGCTGCAGCCAGCACCATGACAGTGACCCTGCGCAGCAGCCGGGAGCTACCCTCAAGGCCTGACGGGGTGTTGCGAGTGGCCCTGCCCTCTGTGCTCACCCCACTGGCCCCACCAGGCCTGCCAGGGCCCCCCAGGTCTCCGGGGCTCTGTGACGACAGGTTGGGCCTATGGTGATTCTCATCTCTCCCTCGGCTTCTCTGGGTCTAGTGCGAGTGAGGGGGCTCTGGCAGGGTGCCGGGGGTGGGGTGGGGGTGGTGGTGAGGTGTGTGAGCAACCTGGAGAAGGGGTGAAGCCAGCCAGCCAGAGGGCAGGGGGCAGGGCTGTGGTGGCTCAGGAACCTTCTCGTGCTCCCCTCCAGTCCCACCAGCTGCTTCGGGGCTGGCAGCCCTCATGAGGAAGGGCTGGCTTGGGAGGAGCCGGCTGCCCCTCAGGACGTGTTCTCTGGCCCTGCCCGCTGCCCAGCCCCATACACCTTCTCCTTTGAAATGCTGGTGACTGGGCCGTGCCTGCTGGCAGGTAAGTGGGTCTGGCCTGGCCGGGCATCCGTACAGGTGCTCCACCCTCCCCAGCACCACTGACTTAGGAGTGCTGACCACACTGACCACAGTACAAGGCTTAGGAGTAGGAGGGGGAGAAAAAAGAACCTAATCCTGGAGGACTCTGGTCTGACAGTGGGGCCCGCCTGCCCCTGCACAACACCCCCTGCCCACTCCCATCCGTCCTGGGTGTCTCCTCCCAAGGGGAGAGAGGAGCTTATATAACAAGTCCAGTCCCAGGGTCAAGGTGGAGGCTCCTTCCACAAAAGTGGGGGTGGGCTGGGGGAGGATGCCAAATCAGCCTTTTGACCTGCCAGGGACAGAGTTGGGCATCCTCCCAGCCCAGGGAAGCAGACAAGTCCCTTGTCCACCGGATCCCATAGACCAGGCTCCAGGCACTGCTCTTGGGCTGTCGTAGGAGAGATGAAGTTTGTGCTCTTAGTACTGGTTTGGGGTGGGGGTGACCATCACCTCTCCTGGCCTGTGTGTCCCCCAGGCCTGGAGAGTCCTTCTCATGCCCTGCGGGCAGACGCCCTCCCTCACGCCAGCTCTGCAGCCACGGTCTGTGTCACTCTGGCGGAGAGCCACCGCTGTGACCGGGCCCTGGAGATCCTGCTCCACCCCAGCGGTAAGGGACTGCGGCTGGCGGGCGAACAGTGGATCAGGTCTGAACCCTTGACGGTCAGCTGGGCAGGGGGCTGGGCCCCAAAGAGGACCGAATCCTCTGTGAGGGAGGGTCGGGTGTGCAGGGGCGCTAGACCTGAGGGGTCTTCTCTGGACAGTGGGATTAGGCAGCTGGGATCCAGAGACAGGACTTTCCTGATGGAGCTGTGCCCACTCCCCACCCCACCCCCATCAGAACCCCACCAGCCGCACCTGATGCTGGAAGCGGGCAGCCTGAGCTCCGCAGAGTATGAGGCCCGGGTGAGGGCCCGCCGGGACTTCCAGAGGCTACAGCGAAGGGACAGTGAGGGGAACCGGCAGGTATGCCCACACCGTGCTCTGGCCGGGCCAGCCTCACTGCTGACTGGCACTCCACTTGAGGGAGCGGATGAGTATTGTCATAGGAGGGCCCACACAGGCCTCCCGGGGGGTGTCTTCATGGATGAGGACTGGGCCTGACATAACCAGAGGACAGCCACCTCGTCTGCCTCTGCTTTTAACCAACTTACAAAAAGATGGTGTCACCCCTACCTCCTGTGTCCCCCCCCCCCCCACCCCGTGGGTAGATGGGAAAAGACCCCAGAGCTGGTCCTGCTGGAACTGCACCGACACGGGGCTCCCCTTTGCAGATGTGGTTCCTGCAGCGGCGCTTCCACAAGGACATCCTGCTGAACCCTGTGCTCATGCTGAGCTTCTGCCCGGACCTGAGCGCCGCCGCGCCCGGACACCTGGGCACAGCCACGAGGGAGCTGTTCTTCCTGTTGGATGGCAGCAGTGCCGCCCACAAGGCATGGGGCCTCGAGAGGCAGGCCTGGGGCTGGGGGGCACTGCCTCACCAAGCTTGATACCTCACTTCCCAAAACAGACACAGGCTTCCTGGACTGGTGGGGGGCGGGGGGCGGCGTGTTCCTTAGAGCCCCAACCCCCAAGACTCTCCTACTGCTTCTCTCTCATGCACATGCCGGCTGTGTCTCCCAGGTACTAAAACCCTCTTTCTCTCTTTTTTTATTTGCTTATTTTTTAACAGTTTTATTGACACTTCACATATCATACAATTCGGTAGTTCAATCATTTCCAGAGGAGTTGTACAATTAGTACCACAATCAACCTTAGAAGAGTTTCTTCTTCCTGGTACTCATTGTGATTAATGTAGTTATTTTTTAAAATCATTTTATGGGGGGCTAGTACAATTCTTATCACAATCCATACATACATCCATTGTGTCAAGCGCATTTGTACATTTGTTACCATCATCATTCTCAAAACATTTGCTTTCTACTTGAGCCCTTGATATCAGCTCATTTTCCCCCCTCCCTCCCCGCTCTCTCTTCCCTCATGAACCCTTGATGATTTATAGATCATTATTATTGTCATATCTTACACTGTCCGATGTCTCCCTTCACCCACTTTTCTGTTGTCCATCCCTCAAGGAGGAGGTTATATGTAGATCCTTGTAATCGTAAAACCCTCCTTCATGTAGGTCACATATTCAGTCCCATACCCATCCAGATTCTCACGTATGTACAGTCACATACACAGGCTCTCCCGCAGCACTCAGAGACTCACACCCTGAACCCCTCCCGCACCTCCCACCCGAGTCTTCCCAGATTCCCCCAGGCCCCTACCTTTGCCCCAAGTCTCAGCTGTCCCGCACCAGTCTTCCACCTAGGCTGGCTCTTGTGTGGTCTTTCCCACACACACCTGCAGCCTTATGCATGGAGACCCAGGGTCTGCCCTAGACTGCCTCACAGGGCACCTACTGCTCATGTGAAACTATGCGATCTGCCGCCCAGGCTCTCTCCGTCTTCCTGGGGGGCAGTGCCCATGGGCCCGCCTCTCACTGCCCTCTTCACCTGCCCTCTCCAGGATGCCATTGTGCTGGCTGTGAAGTCCCTGCCTCCCCGGACACTCATCAATCTGGCCACGTTCGGCATGTCTGTGAGGCCCCTCTTCCCAGAGAGCCGACCTTGCAGTGACGTGAGTTGGGAGAAAGGATTTGGGGGCCTAAAGGAGAGGTAGCTGCCCAGCACGGCCTGGCCTGGGGCTTCTCATTGCAGGACACGGCACAGCTCATCTGTGAGGATATCGCAGGCCTGCAGGCTGTGAGCGGCCCCCCAGATGTGCTGGCCGCACTGGACTGGGCGATGGGGCAGCCCCAGCACAGGGCCTACCCCAGACAGCTGTTCCTGCTCACGGGGGCCTGCCCTGAGGCTGCCACTACCCACCAGGCCCTGGAGCTCATGCGCTGGCACAGGGGGGTGGCCAGGTATGGGGTGGGGAGAGCTGGGTATCTAGGACTGACCTCCATCCGAGGGACTTCTAAAGCTCCCAGCTGCCTCCCCCCACCCCACCCTGACAGGTGCTTCTCTTTTGGCCTGGGGGCCCCCTGCCACCAGCTGCTCCAGGGTCTGTCTGCACTTAGCCGAGGCCAGGCTTACTTCCTGAGCCCTGGGGAGAGACTGCAGCCTTTGGTGAGTGTGAGCTGGGGCCCTGTTCCTACCTCCCAGAAGTTCTCCTACCTATGCAGAGAACCCAGGCTGCGGGGTCTTCTGCTCACACCCACTCTACTTCCTCCCCTCCCCAGACTAGTCACATAGCATACACTCAGACTGTTCAGTCCTGTTAAGCGTGCGTGCGCAATCATCGCTACAATCAGCTTTGGAACATTTTCTTCCTCCTTGTGCTGGAGGCTGTTCACTCCCCACCGACAACCCCCAATCCTTCCCTGCCCCCAGGTTGATTACTAATCCTGTGGCTGTCTTCAGAGATACACTCTCTGTCGGTTTCCACTCCAAACTGAGCCACATCCCTGAAAGTACTGCCTCCCCGCATGGCAAAGTTCAGCCAGAAGACCAAGCAAAGTCTCCCTGCTCCTGACTCCAGCCTGCCCTTGCTTCCCACCGGCCCTGGGGCTGGGCAAGCAGTGGCAGGGAGGGAGAGGGGGCCTCCCCACCCTGTCCAGCTGTGTGACACTGCTCTCTCCCGTGTCTGTCCCCAGCTGGTGCAGGCTCTGCGGAAAGCACTAGAACCCGCTTTGAGTGACATCTCTGTGGACTGGTTTGTGCCCGATGCTGTGGAAGCGCTGCTGACGCCCCGGGAGATCCCGGCCCTCTACCCGGGCGACCGGCTGCTCGGCTACTGCTCCCTTTTCAGGGTGGATGGCTTCCGACCCCACCTGCCCGGGGTAGGCCTGGGCTGGGGGTGGGCGTTTGGCCTCGGATGGGAAATGGCCGAAGCCCCGGGTGCCTCTCTGGCAAGCTCCCCTGGCCACTCCCCAGAGATTAGGCTGGGCCCTCCAGGTGACTGCGGCCCACACCCCTCACATGGTCTTCCACGGAGTTGTCCTGGAAAGTGAGACCGTTGGCATTTTTTTTTACCCAAAATGACTGCAACACATGGTCACAGGAAATGGCTCCCACATTCGCCGTTTACTCCATGCGGTGCCCTGCAGAAAGCACCGTCCAACATCTTTCCTGCAACTGGCCCTAATGCAACCTGGAAGCCCGCCTTGTTCCCTGAGCGGCTCTGTCATCTTGAGGCGCTCCCACCAGCCCTCTGGGCATGCTTCCTCCCCTGTGTGATCCCCCATGGGGTTGTGGTGCTATTGTACTGGACATGCAGGGGGAACTTAGCTACGTCCATCAGTCCATCACGGAAAGTCCTGTTTCTCCTCCTTTTTGATCACCAGAGCAGTAGAGCAGCCTGCCTGGGAGGAAGCCCCGCAGCCCAACTTGGAGCTGAGCCAGGGCGGTTCTGTTAGCCTTCAGGGTTAGCATGGGTGCCCTCGGCTCCCTTGGTTCTGGTCTTTTATTTCCGGTTTGTGACTTTTGTTACCTCTTTCTGGGAACCATTTTCAGCCCAGTTTGGGAAGCAATAGTGTATACTTGGAAGAGCCCCAGTGGGGTTAGTTACATATTAAACTGCAAACCACAAAGCCAGCAGTTCAAAACCATGAACTACTCCTCGGGAGAAAGGCCGGGCTTTCTACTCCCATAAAAAGTTACAGTCCCGGAAACCCATGCCCCGGGAAAGCTCTACCCTGTCCTGCAGGGTTGCGATGGCAGTGAGGTATTAATGTAGGCCTGCAATCATTTCCTTCAATGACTGGTCTTTCCCTAGGGCCAAGAGCCTGGCTGGCAGAGCTTGGGTGGCTCCGTGTTCCCATCCCCAGAGGAGGAGCCATCTGCCACCAGCCCTGGCACTGAGCTCACTGGCACAACGGAACCACAGGGAACAGGCACTGTGTCAGCAGAGCTGTCCAGCGCGTGGGCTGTGGGGGACTCGGAGCAGAGTGAGTGTCTGCGGGGGTGAGGGCTGTGCTGTTGCAGGTGGTGGCCAGCAGGGCTGAGGCCCATTCTCCTGCCTCCCAGCAGGTGCCGATGCTCTGACCGACCCAGCCACTGACCCTGGGCCCAACCCATCCTCCAACACAGCCATCTGGCGCCGCATCTTCCAGTCCTCCTACATCCGGGAGCAGTATGTGCTCACCCACTGCTCGGCCAGCCCTGAGCCAGGCCTGGGCTCTACCGGAAGCAGCGAGTCCCCCGGCTCCCAGGGCCCAGGCTCCCCTGAGGGAAGTGCACCCCCAAATCCCCCTTCTCAGCAGGGCTGCCGCAGCCTGGCCTGGGTAGAACCTTCAGGAACCCGCTCCTGCCCACTGCCTGCCCCCCCAGCAACAGTTTCATTCAAGGTGAGAGGCAGCAAGCCTGGCTGCTAACTCAAAGGTCAGCGGTTTGGGCCTACCAGCGGCACGCTGGCCATCTGCTTCTGTCAGGATGGCAGCTTAGGAAACCCAATGGGTCAGTTCGACTCTGTCCTCTCGAAGCGCTGAGTCAGTCCATTCGAAGGCGCACAGTATGTGCCAGACGCAGTGACCACCGTCAAATTTGTCCAGAGCAACAGATGAGTAGCTCTCCTGTGCCACCCCCACCTCAGGTGACAGCACAGGACAGGCGATTATGGGGGCTGGGGCAGTGAGATTAGCCCTGCTCATGAGGATAGGAAAGGCTTCTTGGGAAAAGAGGAGCCAGAGCCATGTCTGGCAGAGATGGTAAGAGTTAGCCTGACTAAGAGGGAGAAGACGTGACCAAAAACCTAGGGACAAGTCACAGGCTCCCCGATGAGACAGGAAGTGGACTGAGATGGTGCTGGGAGGCGACCAGGGACCACAGGTCGCTGCATACGGAAGGAAAGAGCTTGGTTTTCTGGCTAGGGCTGGTGTGCAGCCATCTGGGGGTTCACATTAAAGGGCATGTGGACAGGCTTGTATGCATCTGATAGCCAGCGGGCTACCTGCCTTGACTGGTGCTCCCAACTTCTGTCTGCAGGCTGGAGCTTTGAGTTCTGACGTTCTGGGCTATCAGCGCCGAGCAGTTCTGGCTGGCCGAAGCCTCTCGTCCCCCCCAGGCTGGACCAATGCAGCCCTTGTCCACCACCAGCACTCCACTCTGGCTTCGGCATCAGATGGGCCAGGCCCTGAGCCAGGACAGCAGCTGGGACAGGGCCTGGACGATTCTGGTAAGCCAGGAGCTGAGCTGCCTGCCACCCAGATGGCTTTGGAAAGGTAGGGTCCAGGGCACCTCACTGCCCACACCCTTGCTATCCTCTCTCTGCAGGAAACCTCCTCTCTCCAGCCCCCATGGACTGGGATATGCTGATGGAGCCCCCTTTCTTGTTCACGGCTTTGTCCCCCAGCGGGGAGGCCGCCCCTCCAGCGGTGCCCTTATCCTCACCGGCTCCGCGCTGCCATGTGGTGATCCGGGGGCTGTGTGGCGAACAGCCCATGTGCTGGGAGGTGGATGTAGGGCTGGAGCCACTCTGGGGGCCTAGGGACGGATCACAGCCTCCTTCATCCTCTGAAAGAGAAACTGCTTGGGACCAAGCCCTCCACCGGCTGACGGCGGCCTCTGTCATCCAGGACAATGAGCAGCTGGCTCTCCGAGGAGGGGCTGAGACCCACGCAGAGCGGGGTGAGCTGCTAGTGTGCTCCATTCTGCTCTACCCCTCACCATGCCCAGGAGGGGCTTGAGGTGGCTCACCTGCCTTGGCAAGATGAAAGGGAAGTTAGAAAGATGCACTCAATGAGGTTATGGGCCCAGGCTAAGTGTGGGGCCCCAAATTTGCAAGCCTCCTAGCAGCCAAGACAGAAGGGAAGGTGATCTTGTAATGATTCACGGTATCCGAGTGGCATACAAACAGACCTGTGGTTTAGGAAGACTATTAAAACGGAAGAGTTAAAAATCCAGTTCTTCCACTGCACGAGCCACATTACAATTGCTCGAGGGACACGGGACTCAAAAAAGCAAACCCACACTCCAACCCCTGCCAAGGCAGGTTCACTTCTCATGGCCTGAAAACGCAGAGTGGAACTACTTCTTTGGATTTCTGAGACGGGGCAGTCTTTCTGAGAGTATCTTCATGGGACAGACTTTCTATCTTCATGGAACAGACAGGCACATCTTCCTCCCAAGGAGCAGTGGCTAGGTTTGTTTGAACAGCCAACCTTGTGGTTAGCAGCCCAATGCTGAATCCACCACACCGCCTGGAGTTTCACAGGCGACTAGTTGCTACTATATGGGACAGCAAACAACCATTTCCATCATTGCAGGGCATTCTATTGGTCAGTGCTGAAATGAGGGGGCAGAGAAGCCACTGCCACCCATGCTTTCTCTGAGCAGGGTCCAGATGATTGGGTTTCTGGGGCACAGGGGCTGAGGAAGGCTCCTGTGGGTTGGGGGCTCTCAGCTTGACCACTTCATGTCAAAAGTTATGGAGCCTGAGTTGGTTCTGGGCCAGAGGAGAAAGCAGTCAACGCTGCTCAAAGATGGCTAAGGGAGACCCACTTCACAATCCTAAGTTTTAAAAATAACAATTCTGATGAAGCAGCATAACTGTAAAACCGTATCTTTCTTGTTAGAAGGAGGTATCGTGGGAGCCAGCCATATCCAGATGGGGCCTACGGGACGGTGGTGTAATTGAAGGGAAGACATTAAGAGGCAGACAAAAGTTTTGGGGTGCTCACCTCTGCCATGGCATCAGAAACCAGATCCGAGTGGGAGAGACAGAATGGATTCTTTCACCAACTTATATGTCTTGGGGCATGCAAGCCCCCCAACTGCAGACACCTACCTACCTAACAAGGTGGGCATTATCTTAACCCTAGTGGTCCCTGAGCTCACTGGGGAGTAACCCGACACCAGTGCTGGGGCCGAGTAAGCGTGGGGGACTGTCCCCTGAGCAGGGAGAACTGTAGCACCAGGTCTGCTCCTCTAGGTAAAGCTGCTGGCCAGATAGTAACTAGCCATGAGCTTGTAAAAGGTGACACTCAGGTAGCACTAGAAGGGAGGATACTGTGGGGAGGAGCTTTAATTAGGAGAATGTGACTGGGACCCTTCTCCAACTCACCAATGTGAAGGTCTCCCTCCACCCAGAATCCTGGACTCCTAGGTTTCTCAATTTGTCCGAAACACTCTCTTGCCGGTCCTCAGTCTCCCACGAGATATAAGTATAGTAATCGTGAAAAACAAATCTTTTTCTAGGAAAAACAAGGACCAAAACCCATAGATTGGGGTGTGGGGGTGTGTGTGGTTGTGCCTGGGCTTTTCTACACAGACCTATGAGAGGCGGGGCTCCTGCTGTGGTCAGCAGGTGGCCCGTCGGTTCCCCAGGTCCTGCGCGGAAGTCCTGGCTCCGAGCCCTTCAGACAAGCAAGGTCAGCTGTGTACCCTCCCGCTTCACCTGCCCAGTCGCGGTGGATGCGACTACCCGAGAAGTCCTGTCTGGAGCCCTGCAGGTGTGCAGCTCAGGTAGGTGCCACCCCTGGTGGCCACTCGGATGTGGGCCCCATGCCTCACTGGCCGGCCACCATCTGGGGCCAACCTGACCCTTGTCTCCTGTGTCCCAGCAGAGCTGGCCCCGCTCTCAGCCACCCCTCCTGCTTCTCAGGGCTCCCCAGATGCGGGCCCTCGCCCAGGTAACAAGGCCCTGCCCCGGGAGGGGGGAAGGACGGCTGGGGCGCGGCCTCCCGCGAGCACTGACTGGCCCTTTGCAGGGCTCCAGGGTGGCTCCTGGGCCGGCGCCGGCCACCGGAACCAGAATGACGACCCCGGGTCTGAGGGGGGGGCGCCTGGAGCCCTGCCTGCTGGTGCTCCCCACCCGCAGTCCCCCTCCAGGATCGGCCTGGGCCGGCGGAGGGCGCGGGGTGCCGCCGGCTGCAGACTGACCAGCCCCGAGCCGGGCCAGGCGGGGGACGCCGGCCCTGACCACGACTACCTGCCGCTGGTGAGGACTTGGGAGGTGGAGGGCGGCGTGGCCGGCCCGGCGGGCGCCGTCTC